CGATATTCTTCCAGTACGGTCCCGAGCAAGCTTGGTTAATAAGAGATTTATTATACGACTGAAGTTCAAAGGGACACGAGTGCGGTATCATTCGGGACCATTCGGGACAGTGCCCGGTCCAATACTTAGAGAATATTGGACCGGCAATAGAGCATTTTGATTGGTTGATTTTAGTTATTGGCCCTCTGACCGCCCGAGTCGGGTAATAATAACCTAATATATGATTTCTATATCGTCCATGCGTCTCTCCCTCAGGATGACAAATTCGTTTAACAACATTGGGAGTACGCTTAAGGTCGGGTGAACTCCCATGAAACGAGTGACATAATTTTCCTTAAACTTCACAAAATTACATGCTACTTCAAGATTATTCAATAGGGGTCTTCTGTGCTCGTCTCCTCTCAATTCAAGAATTTTGCAGTTATAAAAATATACAGTGTTCGATGAAGACTTAGCTGTTGATATTCCCAACACATTAAATTCCAGAATGACTCCTCTTCCTCCGGCTGTGACAGAACATTTCTCCTTTTTCTTTGTCTTTAAATGTAAGCCTTCGCATGTGGCATCTTTCAATTCTGCATCTAACCCTCGACGAAACAGGGTGAACCTGTAAATGCCACAATAAGCATAATTTTAAGATGGATAACTTCGACATTTTAATCACACAAATAATAGTTGTTCAGCTCACCTTCGATCGCTATTTTCAAAAGGATTTAACGCTTCAGTACCGTTTTTCTCCTTAAGATGGCACCAGCTACCACAAACTATTTCATAGATAGTTTTCCGCAGGATGTCTCTTGCCGGTCTTCTTCGCCACTTAAATAACGTATTACTTAACAGGAATTTAGACTCAACGTGTCCATTTCTTCGGTAACTGAAGAGAGAAGCGCGACCTTACGAAGGTCATAGTCCTTGAAAAGGCCTAATGGATCTAAAACGGACACTTGAATCATCCAAGCAACCGACAGCGCCCATTTGCTGATGTCGTTGATGACGGGATACCGTTCCCATTAACACTTCTTTGCGTAAGGTTTCGGCTCTCTAAACCCTACAGACGACGTCCTTCTTCACTCATGGTCGGACGCCAATTGCACAACAACTATTAGTTATGCATGTAAACGTGTTCTTTCGATGAAGGAAAAAATGTAACACTGCATAATTTATCATTGTTTGATTCGAGAAAACATGTCACTGCACAATTTCTTATAGTTTCATTTGAGAAGATATGTCAAAAACTCGGGCTTCGTGCTTCCTTACGGGTTCCAAATACTTCGAAACGATAAAAGCACTCACCTTACGGCCTCGTGCTTTTATCTGTTTCTCAGTGTTTGGAACCCGTGATGAAGCTCTTGCCCCCGTTTTGACGTATTACTTCGAAGCACTTACCTCAAGAAACATTCGCGAACAAAATTAGCAGTGTGAAGATACAAGAAGAGGACGTCATACTTTCTTGTTGTACGTACTTGAAGCTGAAACGTTGAGGAAATAATATTGCGTCAGGCTTATTGAAACATAATTAGCTGAGCTCTTTGTTCTCATTTGTATCGTTACTCTGGTGGGCAAGCATTTTATTGTAAGAACAAACGTGACTTTTGCAGCTTCGGAGCCTCCATACGAATGAAAATATGGTAACCCAATCATAAAAACCTCAACCGGTAGTAAAAATCGTCGCTAAATTATCAATTACAATCGAAACTTACTGTCTCAAATGTATGTGAAGTGCTATGTAAAGTATTTAGAGTGGGAAAAATTGAAACAGACATCGGTTGTTTTCAAACTAGAAGAGCACTTATGCATGTTTACGCCTGAAAACCCAATTCCTCCCCCCCCTGCCCCCCAAGCCGCGCTATCAATGTGAGGACTTGCGAATTTTAAGACGAAAATATTCCAAACACAATCAAATGAAAACCACAGATTGGCAAAGATTCATAAACGTTTTAGTGCGAACGAGACTTGGGGTGAGTTTTCCGCAGTAGTAGTTTACGTCATCCTGCATGGGAGCTATTCTCTGCTTGTCGCCGCTTTAAACCGTATGACGTGTTGCAGTTGCCACCAGTATAGGCGTAATCCCCTTAGGACTCGTGCGAACAAATGAGCTCCTGTCTGATGATAGTAAACGCCTCCATCCTTCAGTAGTAACCGTAGAACGTCATACGAGCCAATATGATACTCTTTGGGAAATTCAAGGTTTGATATTGCTCATAGAAATGAATATCATAGTGTAGAATGCGACCTTACTTTCTTTCAATTTCACGCTGCAAAATCCAGGTCGAAAGTACTTTCTGTCTTCAGTATGACGATTACTACGATTAGGGTGTTGATACGCATTCAAATTATGCTATAACTACTTGCATGATGATAATTCAAATAACTTTAAAAAATTTTTGGCTAAGGCCAGCTTTTCTCAACGTGTTGAGAACTGCAGTGATATAAAATTTGCTACCTTGATATAAATCTTTGAAAACTCATTTTGTGATGATTTAACTGAAGGATTTAATTTATTACAAATAACAAATCAATTGTGGATAAAATGTAAATTTGTAAACGCAACAGTGCATTGAACGGCCAGAGGAAGTCAACTTCATTGGACGAAAAAGAAGCCAATGCAAAATCCAAAATTGACTTTGTTAATTGTACAGTTTTTGGGGCCAGTCAACGCCAACGTAGAGAGCGTTCTGAAAGAGGTTTTCTTATTGTAATCATCAACCAGATCGTCCTGTTTCTTCTTTTTTTTTAAGTCTTAGTATTGTTTAAGGTCTGCCCTCTTAATAATAATTTGTTGCGATTTTAGCAAATTTCGCTACCGTTCTTCCTCCAGCCGCCAGAAAAATGAGCATCAAAGACTAAACTTAAGGCACAGATTTCCCAGTTTCCCTTCGACTCCTAGAACTGTTTTAAATAAACTAGTACTTTGATCAGAAATCATATAAAGTAGATTTAAAATCCAAAGGTAACGTTTCCAATTTGAGTTTCACAAAATACTGAAATACCCAAATAAAACCAAGAATTTGGCAAAGATTAATGGACAATTCAGAGCAAACGAAGCTTGGGGGTGAATTTGCAGTAATTGACATCATCATTAGAGCTTAGAGCTTAGATTCATTAGAGCTTTTCGGTTAATTCCGCTATTTTGATTCGCATGACATGCTTTAACTAACTGCAGGATCCCCTCGGGACTCATGCAAAGAAAAGAGCTCTTGTCTAATGATAATAGCGATAACCGCATGACCCCATAAAAAAACGGCACCTGCCGGGAAATTCGAGCATCAATGCATTAATAGTGCCTTTGTCTGTTTGCAGTTTTCCTAAATTCCACTCTTGTTTCTCAGTTTTACAAACGAATCGTAATTACAAAAGACATCTTAACGGAAACTTGCTCTATCATTGGAGGTTTCCTTTAAGCCACGAAAGTTTGGTTGGACGTCATGATCGTACTCAAAAACTTGTATTTGCATTATCATGTTGAACTGCGTAGAATAAACATATGTAATTGGCAAAACTATAGCAGTGAAGATCTTCCGTTTATTCAAATTAGTTAAGATTTCAAATGGGTTTGATTCAAAGTTTAAGCAAAGTAAAATCACTTTGGGAATCACAGGGCAAAATGCCTTAAAAATCTAATTTTCTGGCTTCAAATGGCGCTTACCGCAATAATTTCGAGTATTCCATGGTCTAATGGACATAAGATGAAAGAGCTAAAATTTCATTACAAGTGCTTTTACTGAACATTTTACATCAAATCGAAAAACTCGAGAAATTTGAAAAAAACCCCATCTACTTTCTGTTGGAAACATGATATAATAAGATCCATACGAAAACTCTCAACTTTTACCATTTCAATCGACTTTCACGTTATTGTTCCTTTGTTGTCTTTGTGAAAATCCGCACTAAACCAAAACAGTTTGTTAATCAACCTTTTGCAAAACAAAGCAATATCCGAAATGAAAATTTTGCAAATTATATTGGAAGTTAAAACCAAGAGCGAGATCGTCTCTAAAATTTCTTTAGCGGAAGAAATTCATGCAGAAGTTTAGAGTTTGTTTAGCAAGTTACCGCAGAAGCATGTGGTTAACAACTAACGCCATAGCTCTCCCACCAGCTGACAAACAAATAACCATCATTGACAAACGCTTTTACACAGATCTGCCAGCTTCCCGATTGACTCTTAATACTCTTTTAAAGAGATTATTTTGGTAAAAAACCATACAAAATAAATTTGAAATCCGCGGCGCACTTTTTCAATTGAAATTTGACCAATTCATAATGATAATTGATGCCGGCCTCGATGTTTGTTGCTCGGCAATCCTCGCTCTCCTTTTCAGTATCTACTGCTTATCTAAACCACGAACTTGATAGAATCATGTCTACACATCTAGTCATCATCTCAACATTGGTATCAGTGTAGAAACTCATGCAAAACGAAAATAAATCCACCTTTTCCTTTTCAGAGACTGCAATCTTGGTCCGACAGCTTTTTTGCGACAAACATGGGGATGGTTCCAACCTCAATGAACAATGGTCATCTATTCATATCTATGGCTACTTTATTGCTTTGATATCAGTGAAGCGATCCTTAAATACAATAGCCTATTTTTGCCTTCTAACCACTTGGACTATTGCCATCTTGACCAAAGGTCAATTGTGGTAAATGTCTACCTGTATACTCCTGCAAATCAAGCGCTACACTCCATTGAACGCTTAAAGGTGGTTTGATATTCAGATTAAATCCTGGCTCTTAAATGAAAAAAAAAAAAAAAAACTTAACTATTTACTTGCATTGGTCTAACAGAAACTTGGTTTCACGATAAGGAGTCTGCCTGCTGCATGCTTTAAACGTTCCTATAATATCATCGTTGTCATTCGCAAACTAGCTGCACACAGGAGGTGGCCCCGGAGTGCTATTCATCCTTTCAAACTGTTCAGCTGCTGACCTTCAATCATTCGAGTACTCTGCAAGGAATATCAAATCTAGTCCGCAATAAATTCACTTGATAATTAGCTACAGACCACCATAGTCTGAGTTCAATCCTGTTACAAAATGCACTTTCCACTTTAGTAGCAGTTTTTTACTTATTTTTACTTCAAGCCTTAAGGCAGGTTCCAAGCTGGGGGGCTGTGATTGTTAAGAGCTCCACAGAGCTGATCAACCCCTCTCGCTGTCGGTGTTCATTCTAAGATTTTCTTTGTTTCCTGCCAACCCAATCGTCTTTCGACTTCTAGTATATTGGCGAATAATTTTTCGTTCTTGTCACCGAATTAAGTTTGCAGGTAAGAAGTGGCACTGGCCGAACCGCCATTACTGCTAAGCTTATTGGCGCTTGCCGTTACATGTTGGTGGTTGCCCTTTTTGAAAGCCGTATTGTTTTGATATTTTATCAGTGGACCTTGAAGCCAACTATCACTGCAGTGATCTAACACAATTCAAAACTCACTCGATGTTCAAATCAATCTCGAATTAAATTACTTGCTTTCAGTTTTGAAACACGAGCAAAACAACTTGTTAGTGTCTCCATAAAAGTCATAATCAAGTATGCCAACTAAGGTGCCTAAACAAACCTTACGCGACTCCTTATAAGTGATAACGATTTGAAAGACTTTTATCAAAACATCTTCTCAAGCAATACAAAGGGAAATAAAATTAACGGGGAAAGTATTAGGCCATTTACATAATCTTAGGAATGAAGAAAATTTTTGTACATGTACTCACTCGCATACAAAAAATCTTGAAACCTTTCTTATTTGCTGCAACTTTGCACTTATCAAATACGTCCTCAAAGCTAAGTTTCTTTCCCGGACGGTAGAAAATTTATATCTAAGAACCATTTTCGTCTTCCTCTTGTGCTCCTTGAAACATCCTTCAGATTTCCGATCAACTGCTGGGAAGGAATTTGGAAGAAGTTCAAAGAGCTAAACTGTTAAATTCGAGCTTGATGGAGCAAACAAACAGATCAATGAAAATATCTGCCCAGTGTCTATGTTTAGCTATACGTTCAAAAATTTTACCAAAGGTTTCGGCAGAAACAGAAAGGACTGAAGCAAATTAATCTTGCTGAATCTTTAATTTTTGTGGAAAAATCTTGAAATCCTACTCTGCAGACAAACTGAATGAATGTTCCATGGTCAGAAGTTAAGAAGGTTTGATCTGTAGTGAAAATGTATCTGAGGTTTGTCAGCCAAGGATTTCCAAATTAGTTCAACAGTTCTTAAAGTAAAAAAAGAATTTGTCGGCATCCGGTCTGCTTAGGTGAGAGAGACGTTTTGAGGGTTATTAGGTGTCGTGTGAGCAGCACTGTTTTGTTTAAGTAGTGCTTCCTGTTTTGCTTTTATGTTCAGACTTGATGAAACAGATGTATCTCAGTAATCCAAATATTCCTCCGACTCGTACTCTCCTGGTACCGATGGGTTTTGACTCATCAGCACTGCTTAAGCCCTCAGGTGGGTTACACATACTTAGTTAAGTTTGTGTAGAAAGCTATGGCGTTCAGTGAAGCATTGTCTGGATTTGATCATCATGAAATCAAGATGTTTTTATCTACCAATATTTTCTTTTAAGCTGTGAGTTCGTATTTATTTCAACTCATTACCTGCCTCACAGTTTTTCTCGATAGCCATTCATGTAGTTACAGATATATCCTTGAGATTGATCCAAACATTGGCCTCCGTTCCTAGAAGGACTCGATTCACCGGCAGTAGTTATGTCTAAAGGCAAATAAGTACAACTTTTAACACAGTATAGCTGTTCGACTGCTTTAGTTAACCTAAAACTTAAAAAGATTTTCCTTGAGCGGACAATCTACGGACCACCCCTCATTACATTGCATGCAATTAGACTAATTAAACCAAGCAAAGAAGTACGGTATAGGCAGTTTGTCACCTCGACTTACGCTTGAAAAACAATCAGAGAGTATGTCCAGGTTACTCTTCTTTTGTAGAAGACCCTTTGTTTGTCCCATGAGGTGTATAACTCAGACTGTCTTAAAATGCATCAACTCTTGAACTGCATTGGCTACGCGTAGAGAGCGTATCGGTCTGAGGTGTTGAGACATTTCAATTTCGAGCGTGGCTTCACCAATTAGTTGGGAGAATGAAAACGGTGCAAATAATAGTAACTTGTTGAAATCTGACGCGCATAGGAACGTTGCTCCCACACATAAAGTCATCCTTAGTGCAGTATGGACAACAAGGAAAGAGAGTTCTTTTCTAGAACTTCGTTTAGAGAGTAAAGAAATTGGTGGCATCACTTTTGTTCACACTGAGCTTGTGGGAGAACAAGTCCACAGGTCGTTCGTAAGGAACTACACAGGCGAGTACCACCCTAAGGAACTGCTGAGCTGTTGGCAGTAAATAATTTCCCTAAATAAAAAAGATATTCATTCAGAAACATTTCAAACCTTTATCACAGTTTTTCCCACCCCATCCTGCCGGACATGGCTGACAACTGTCACCATGTTGAGTAATCTTAAAACTGTCTCCTTTCTTTCGAGGAGATGACGCACATTCGTCAACTGTTGCGAAAGAAAAGTTTCGCGAATGTTAAAAAGTATCCGACATCACAAAACATAGCATCACAAGATGGTGTAAAAGAGTAAGTAATCGCAACTCCCCAAAAAGGAGTTGGAATACTAACAACGTAAGATAGTTTTTGCTTAGGGTCACTTTATTTGTAAAGGTAAGTGGATTTGTTTCCAACAAAAAATTACCTTTAACATGAGGGGGATCTTTTCAGTAAATGAGATATACAAAGGTATCTAAGCTATTACAAAAGATCAAAGTCAATTATTTGTGTCGAGAGCGCCTTTTGTGGTTCGCTGGGGGGAAACGAAACACACTCAGTTGATTATCATCTGAAAAATTGGATAGATTTTTTTTTCTTTCTAAAAATTGGCATACTAAAAAAAGTTACAACATAAAACTCTCAAAACAGTTTTTGCGGCATTCTATTTTCCCTTAAAGGTCCGGATCCTAAGGGTGGATAACAAAAATCTACTACATGACTTTTATTGAGTCAACACAAACATGATGAGTAGCAGAGAGAATTGATAGCTAAGTCAAGACCACTACTCGTTCAACTTCTCAAGTCAGCATGATAACAAAATTCGTCTCTTTTCATCAATAGGAACTTTAAGCAGTCAGGACGGCAACGCCACGGAAGACGTCGATTAATAAATGAGTTTCTACTTTTAGTTAGAATTTCGAAAATGGCTGCATGTGTTTACCGTCTCACAGGGCGCCAGACCTCAACTCAACATAATGCATAAAAGTAGCGTTGAGTTCCAAATGTAAATTAAAATAATTTGTCGCCGCGGTTACGGTCCGCAGACGACGCAAATTTTGGTAAAGGTAACGAATCTGATCCAACCGACGCGTCGGCCAACACGTTGACCAACGCGTCGGCCGAATGCATAAAGTGCCACAGAGCTTTCCTGGACTACCTCTGGCAAATCACTGATGATGATAAAAAAATAAACAAGGGGCCCAAAATGGACCCCTGCGGCACGCCAGATGTGATATTCAGCCAGCTAGAACTTTTGCCATCCACCACAACTCTCTGCTTACGACACGATAAATAATCACCACACCAGGCTAGCAGTGACCCTATTATTCCAAAGGTACGCAGTTTATGCAGTAGAATCTTATGGTTTACGCGATCGAACGCCTTAGCAAAGTCCAAAAACACAGCATCAACCTGGAGACCATCATCCAGCGCTTTGCTCCACATATGGTTAGTGAGGACCAGCTGGGTTAAACAGGAACGCCCTTTCACAAA